AAAATGTATAATAATTTCATACTGTTCTGACCCGCCACAGGGTGAGAACAGTATGAAATGTCACAATAGGACCTTACATAGGACCACAGTAACCTTACAATGTCACAATAGACACCAACACTTCCTGGGATGTTAAATTGAATAAATGGAAGAAAATGGAAAAATGGATGTGTGCAGTTTCGTACTGTATACTTTAATATGTCTCCATGAGCGAGGTTAGCTGTGTGCTGTCAGCAGTTTTACACTACCTTGCATTTGCGAAGCATCATGCTCTTTATTTGCATTTTGGACACCAACGGCTGGCTGAATATAATGGTCTCTCTGTATCTTTCCCCAGAAAACAATGGGACTTGAAGTATTTTTTTAACAAGACGCTTATTGTATTGAATGTGGCAAACTCAAAAATTGGTGACTGGTTAATTTTAGCAATAAATTTACCCTGAAGAATGAGAGGGTTGCTGATATTGTATTATTTTCTGTTATTAGACATTCCTTTCACATTCCCTGATTTTCAGATTTTAGTTTAAATATTACCATATATGCTCCAGACTAAAACCTGAACCACCAGTCGCAATCCAAACGCTTTTCTTCTCTACCTAACTGAACTCTTGGAAGTAAATTTATCATGAAGGTGAGTGAGCTCATTATCTCGCTTCATCTCAGACTGAGACAGTTGAACTGAAAAGACACACACACACACTCAGATTCATTGTTCACGCATTGCGTCTGGTAGAGTGCACCATGCACCGGAGCAGACATTTGAGAGATGTCATGAAGTTCACCCTCTTCTCTCCTCTTCCTCCTGTATGAATATCAGCCTTTCGGTGACCTGGCCTGACTGGCAACACACTATCTTCTTCTTCTTCTTCCTCATTTCTCTGTAAAAAAAAAAAAGTAGCACAACCTTGGTGAACAATACTGCTAGGATCGTTCTACATTTTTTGATGATAATGGGTTTTTGGTGCATTTTGTAAAGATGGAGTTTGACGGCCTTGAGTTGGCCTTATCTTGACGTGCTCTGTTGGCTACGCTTTTCTTGTTGTTCCTGGAAGTTGATGGGTGGAGTTCAGACCTTGAATCCAGAGATGTAATGCAAGATCTATTAGATCCTGTCTATCATTTCGTCTGGCTGGCGGGTTGATCTGCCTATTGTTGTTTTGTCTTTTTTATATCCTTTGGCCTTATTTGAAAGGCATGTGCATTTTCTCTCATAGTCAACAAAGGCTTTCACTCTCTCGTTGTAAGATGGTAGTATAACCTTTGTCTTACGAATAATAATTTGCTTTTTGTTTGCTCAGCCTGCCAATGTCTGAATTAACACTGAACAGAACTGACTTTGAAAGGTCCCGGGCCCTATTTCAGGAAGCCGGTTTAGTGCAAACTCTGAGTAAGTATACCCTGAGTTAACGAAAACTCTGGGTTTTCGGTTTCACAAAGCGAGTTTA